GGAAATTTACCTCATCACCCTCTTTTCTCCGTGCAGTTGCACGATTATGCTGTGGTGGATCCATGAAATCATCATCATCATTTTGATGATCACCACGAGCCATTCTGCTGACATAGGAACAGATCAAATTATCATGGTGGAAATGTAAATGCAATAGGTAAGCATCTAATCCAGAACCTGAAAAAATTTGCACTGCCACAGCGGCAGAAATGTAAATTGCCGTGCTAAAATGTAACACATACTACAACAAAAGCGATGAAACCACATCTAATCAAGAACCTGAAAAATTGCCACAGTGTGTTCAGATAGCACAAAGTCTTTGTGGCAAAAACAAAAAAAAATTGCACCTACAGCACAATGAATTTGCCACATTGTATTGACAGTAGAATGGCAATAAACATGATGTGGTCAGCCAAAAACTTGCCACATGTGAAGCATATGTATGGCATCTGACACAATTGATATGCAAATTTGGTTGCCATATTATGCATCCAATTTGCCACACTGTCCTATGTGCAGAATGACAACAGGCAGTGTGTTCACATTCTATTTGCCACATGAATATACTATCCAAGTGGCAACAGGCACACTTGATGTGCACATTAGTTGCCGTCCAGTGTAGTTGGCTGCTGAAACTGCATTGACTACCGATTGTGGCAACTATCACAGTGTGGCAACTATCACAAATCATTCAGAAAAATTAGTTGCCACAATGAAAAGCATGTTTGTGGCTACTATCACAGTAATTCAGCAAATTTAGTTGCCACATGGAAGAGCATGTGTGTGGCAACTATCATAGTCATTCAAAAAAATAGTTGCCGCATGGGAAAGCTTATTTGTGGCAACTATCACAAATCATTCAGAAAAATTAGTTGCCGCAATGAAAAGCATGTTTGTGGCTACTATCACAGTAATTAAGCAAATTTAGTTTCCACATGGAAGAGCATGTGTGTGGCAACTATCATAGTCATTCAAAAAAATAGTTGCCGCATGGGAAAGCTTATTTGTGGCAACTATCACAGTGTGGCAAGTATCACAAATCATTCAGAAAAATTAGTTGCCGCAATGAATAGCATGTTTGTGGCTACTATCATAGTAATTAAGCAAATTTAGTTTCCACATGGAAGAGCATGTGTGTGGCAACTATCATAGTCATTCAAAAAAATAGTTGCCGCATGGGAAAGCTTATTTGTGGCAACTATCACAGTCATTTCAGTAATTTGTTGCCGCATGGGAAAACACGTTTGTGGCAACTATCACATTTGTTCAGGAAGTTAGTTGCCATACAATCATGATAGTTAATCAACCTACCAAGTTCGCCTCATACTACAGTTTTAAAAACCAACTAACTAGATCTAGGGTTCAATGGTAACTACAGCGACTTCAAATTCAACCTCGAAATTCTCCCCCGAACTGATTGTAAACACAAATTCGAACCAATGCGCATCAAAACAAACCGGGAGATACTTCTCCAATCCAAAGGCAAGGCTAGTACGTGCCTCCGGACAGGCGTAACCACACCGACGATACCGCCGCCGCAACGGCGACGAAACTGCCCGGTGCCACCAAAAACGGCTAGCAGGCGACTTCGCCGCCGGCGGGAACGCCGACGCATCGCCGGATCGCCTGAATCTCTACGAATCTCGGTCGAGGAATTGAACAAGGAGGGAAGGGGGGGAATGCAGGAAGGGATTGCGAGAGTTGCAGCGAGCATTACCTTCAATCCGCAGGAGCTCCGGCGAAGCCTCTCCGTTTCGGCGAGCACCACCGACGGCCGCGAACACCGTCGATTCTTCCGCCTCCGCCGTCGCCTTCTCCCCTCGCCTTCTCCTCCAATGGTCTGAACTGCGAGTGGGTTCTGCCAGTAAATGCGGTGCGTGGTGAGTAAATGGAACCGTGAGGGGAGAGGGGACAGAGGTGTGCGACGTGTTTGACGTCAACCGCGGTCGGAGCGTGGCGTGCGGGCGCATTGCAGTTCCACCGCACGCCCCGAGTGGCAACCGCTGACCGCGGGAGGGCAACCAACATGCGGGCGAACCATCTCGCACACCGCACACGCGCCCCGTCCTACGTGGCGCAGAAAACCGACCGGATTGTGCCAAGATTCGTGCACGAAGTTGCCAACGGTGATGCCTGCGTGTGGTCGAGATGGTGAACGCCCACACGTGTGGGCGTTAGCATTTCCGTTTTAAAAAATGTTCCTTTTCTTCAATATTTGTCCACAACTTCAAAATTGTTCATTTTTAAAAATTTGATTACATATTCAAAAAAAGGCTAAAAAAATTAAAACTTGGTGTGTTTGTAAAAAACGTTCTTACACTTAAAAAAGATATTCAGAAATTACAAGAAAAGATCGAGAAAAGAAAAAATAACCGGATCTGGTGATGTGAATAGTTCTATGGTATTCGCATTGCCATATCACCACAAGCATCAATCAGGCGTAGTGGTTAGGTACCTCGCTCTACAAAAGACTCAGAGCGTGAGATCAATTCCTCGCTGTAAACTTCACGTTTTTCTTTCATTTTTACACCGCTCGCTGCCTGTGTGGGCCGGCCCAGTCGGGGGGCGCCCAGTGCGAAGCCATAGGTGCTCCCTAGCCTACCCTTGGAATAAAAAGGCAGGACATAGCCGCGCCCCGTCTTCACCACCTTCTTCACAACAAGGGCACTTGGGCCCGAACAAATTCCCTTGCGAAGCCAGCAGGCAGGTCAACTGGACCTCCTCTATCAGATTCTCAGAAGAAAAAAACTCATAATGATAGTCTTGAATTAACTAAGAAAACTCAAAAGATATTTACTGGTGGTGCTGTTTCTTTGGAACTGTCTCATATGATAATGTTTAATTAGAACCTGCCATTACCAAACACCGCAGCAAGTAAAGAAAGAAAAAACTACAATCATATCACTCACAAAATAATATCAAAATTATGCATCGCGACCACGACTCACATTGTGGTATGGAATGATTCAGCATGCCTCTGCATAGCATGCAATGGCGGATGTTATAGACAAGACAGTTCCAACAATTCAATTCCGGCGGGTTTTCTGGAAAGATTATCCACGCTCCAAGCAAGCATAGGTAATGTTGAGTGCCGCCTGGCTTCATATGCTGTGATGTTGTTGTGCGCTAAGCCGCTAACTGTACTTACATATACAAAACCCCACGGTACAACTGAGAAGACAAGTTGATTATGTCCTGGTGCAAGAATCCCAAGAGCTCTTGAGCGTTGTGTGCAGAATGAGATGGAATCGCCGGGACCAAGAAACAATCCTCTCTTCTAATCTCAGGCCCTTTTCATGTTCGGATTCCAACCGCAGTCAGGGCCTACTGATCCGAGAAAACGTCCCCGTCTCGGAGAAATAGGTGCTCTGTGTTCCACTTCCAAGAAGGTTCCCGTGGGCATGTGGGTTCGACAGCTCTATCCCCTGCAAGTGAAAACAATGGCATCTTAGAAGAAACAAGGGGTCATGGATCATAGGTTAACCTGTTTAAAAATAACGATAACTGACTGAAAAGGTATATATGATGACATCGAAGATGCTACAACCTACTGATTACCGTCTATCTATCTATACACAAGGTGCTAAATGTATATAAGAAGCTAACAACAGCAAACCATCCAGCGCCTGGTGTACAAAAAAGAAAGAAAACAAACATGCAATGATGTACGGTAGCATAGGTAAAACCACCAACACATCAAGCTATATTGTTCATGATGACTTCACAGAAGCAAAATCTAGGAACTTCATAGTAATGCAGCAAAAAAGGTTAAAAAAAAACAGGTTAAACTGCCTTTTCCGATCCCTCAAACATGAGCAACACAAGCAAAAGCTAAGCAAATACTACTTCCTCCTTTCCTAAATATAAGTCTTTTTAGAGATTCCACTATGGACTACATACGAAGCAAAATGAGTGAATCCAGACTCTAAAATATGTCTATATATATCCGTATGTAGCTTGTAGTGGAATATCTAAAAAGACTTATATTTAGGAACGGAGGGAGTAAAAGATAATAAAATACATAGCGATCTAGAGTAGGCAGCACTGTAGCTATAATCCCCTGTTCCACAACTGGATCAGCCAAATATCATGCATAACGAACCAGGGGAAAATAAACTCACCTGAACTGGTGTAAAGGCTAAACTAGATGTCAGTCCAGATGTTGCGCCACCGCTACCATAACTCCTCTCCTTGAATCTGATATCAGAAAGTAACATGGAATCAGAGAGAGAGAGAGAGAGAGAGAGAGAGATTGCAGTGCATGATCTCATAAAAGAGGCCACGATTCGAAATATAAACAACAATGTGAAGATACTTAAGAGAGTTAGTTACTGCAGCATAACGATGGTACAGGGTGCAAATAATCCATAACATAAAAAATGAACGCAAACACCTAAATGTGCAGGGAAACGTAGATATAAGGATGGTATAAAGCATAAAGCACTACATTTAAAATATTAAGCTCCGGGAAGTGGGAATCAAGGTGGGTATAAACACAGTGAAGAGAAAGCTGTGAGAATCGGTTTTTGTTGATGTATGCCTTGATAGCTTAAAACTGAGGATCTAAGTTCCACATTTTCCTCTAATAGTTTGAACCAGCATGTATTGAATTTAGAAACAGTTAGAAAGAACACACTACACTACAAGTTATACCATGTTTTGGGGAGTAAAAGGGCATAAAACCTCCATTGCGGAGCCAAGTAGTACTCATGTGCTTTATGCTTTAACATCAAATGGCAAGGAACAGAAAGGAAGAAAATAAAATACTGTGGGAAGAATTGAGGCATACTTCTTTGCCACTTTAGCAGCAAGTTTGTTTTGCGCAGCTGAGACACGTAGTTTCCCACTTCCGGCCTGCCCAAGCATGCCATAACCTTCCCCCAAACCATCACCTGGTGATAACAAGATGTGATTGTGTCAATATTAAGGTAAAGTGAAACTAAACAACTAACAAAATGTCATTCCAGCATCCCTGTCAAAACCAACTGACCTAATGAGCTCTACTCTGGTATACCAAACTGCATTCGGTTTGCAAGCTTCATCATATCAGTCACCGCATATCTGCAGAACCAAGTTACCAACATTATGACAAGATACCATTCTGTTTATGTGATGAACCCAAGTTTCAGCATGGAATGCAAATTAGTAAGTAGTTCAAGGCAAAAATAAGCATGAGGTTGTTCAACATGTTTATTTGCAAAAACATATATTAGGTTGAGAATATCTTACCTTTCTTTCATTTTTCGAAGGCGGCGACCCCCTCTCTTCTTTTTAGGTTCGGAATCTGGAACAGGAAGTGGTTTTGGAAGCTTTGCGGGAGGTGGTTCTTGCCACTTCTCGATCTTCTTGCGAATTTCTTCTAACAAGTTGCGACCAGCTTTTCCAGTTGGATCACCTCTAGTTGAATCAATTCTTGCTGCTAGAGTTGCCTTTGCAGCTATAACCCTGCAAGCACGGGTCCTCAGGGCTGGAGGGGTGCTCTGAAATACTTCGGCTTGTTCAAGATAGCCAACACGAAACTGAGATGTGGCACTAGAAAACCCAGCAAGATTTTTCTTCTTTGCTCCAAGTAGCTGAACATTGCAAGCAGGCATTTTTGTAAGTGCTCCCAAACCACCAGCAATTCCCATCAATTTTGCAGCAACAGCACTGCCAACGATTGCAGATAGGTTTGGTGCGATGTAACCCATTCTACCCTCTACAAAATCAAGCACCTTCTTTTTTGCAGCATCAAGATTAAGGGCTCTGTCACATGCTTCAATGGTTTTTACCAAATTCTCCTGAGAAAGAGGCTTCCCACTAGTTGTCGATGCTGTCACAGAGACAACCATTATAACTGCAGAAGGTAAAAGCCCTTCCAGATCTACTAGTGTTATATCCACCTCATTTGCAATCTTCTTAACAACACGGGCATAATCAATCGGATGATGAACAAGGGATTCCAGTTCAGGAAACTTCAGCCTATACTTGTCACGGATGAAATTATGTATTATAATGAGCTCATTCTCAATATCTACTGATAAGGCATTGCAATCTACAATAAGCTGGTACTCTGGATCCTCCTCCAGGATGAACCCTTGATTAGACAAATATGTGTCTTTGTCAAGTGCTCCTTCAACTTTCTGCACACGAAAATATGAAACTGTCTATTAATCTATTGTCGGGCATGGGGTGAGTTGAAGATTTTTACAGACTAAGGATAAAATATAGATTTACAGCGCTGGATGCCCTATATGGACTCAAAATGAATGGACCATATTTTCCACATGAACCATTTGTGACATTGAGCATAAACTGAGGATTGCTGGGTTTGCTAGCAGCACGTTGCGTCGCTACCGACCTGCATTTGAGGCCTAGCCTCTGCAGGTGAATCAGGACGTCTTACTACATTAAAAAAGGCCCTGAGTGACTAGTCTCTGGTTGGTCTTTTTGTTTATTATCTCCATTTGCACCCTAAGAACGTAATAAATATCTCCATTTGCACCCTAAGAACATCTAAAGTAATATTCAGGAATCAGACATGAAAAGAACAATCAACTGAGTGTGTCTCCGATTTCCATATAATATGTGTTATCTAAGATTTCTTTTCGAACTAGTAAACACTATTCTGGTGGAAAACATTGTGCAGCATCTTATAACTGACTGATCACCCTAACCACACAAATAAGGTTTTACCTTTTTGCCAGATAAACATAGAACTATGCAAGAGAGAAAGGTGTAAGGTCAGTGGAGATCTACGAGTTTGATCACATACTTGCATAATGTCACTATAACGCTGTGTCTTCTGCAGTTTTGAGACGCTGTCAAGATCATCATAATTAAGAGACTCAAGGTCAGGCATATCATCGTCACCATCCTCATCCATGCCCGCCGCCTCGGCATTGTCTTCTTCCTGAAAAGTTTGGCAACAGATCAACAAACTGCCTGCAAAAATATCCCTGTAAAACATGGGTATGCATTAGACGCAGAAATCAACTCACGGGGTAGGCCTCATTGTCCGAAAGTTCGTCGAGATCGGCCAAGAAAGAATCGGCAAGGCTTGCCTGTGAAGCGGCATCATTCAGAAAAAAGGGCATGAGACCGATGCCGAAAATAAATTGTAAATTTAAGGTTGCCTAGCTGCTTAACTAACAGGGGGTGCAATGAACTCACCATTATCTCGTCCCAAGTCTTCCCCTCGGCAGGCTAGACCGACCTATAAGAGAAGTTGTTGAGGAGGACGGTCAGCTCGATCAAAACAGATCTGTAGTGCCCAGATAGGGGCTCCCAAAAGGCAAAAACTACAGATAGGATTTGGGATACCGCTAGCTAATAAGATGGTGCTCCCTCCGTCCCAAAATAAGTGTCTCAACTTTAGTACAAGTAGTATGCAATGGATTAGTCTAAAGCTTGTGAGCGAAATTCTGTTAGTAGTTACTGATATACGACATGCCTGTCCAATGCCCAAACTGCTGGTATGTTTTTTGCTTGCTTTGGTCGTGAATTGATCGGGCCGGTGGCGCAAACGCTGAGCCCTTAATGGGCAACCCTCAAAACTGTGGGCGGATCTTAAAGAGCAACCCTAAAACTAACATAACCCTAAAATTACAAAGCCAGAATCCACCAATTGCTCACGCCGGCGACGAAACCCTATCTAGGGAAAAGAGGTGGGGAGGGGGTTGAGGCGGAGGAGATCCTTACCGGAGAGAACTCCGGAATACCGGTTGTGCCGGAGAAGGGGGCGGCGCGGCGCCGCGCGGTCGGGGGCGGGCAGGGGCGGCGGCGCGGTCGAGCAGGGGCGGGCGACGACGGGCGGTGGCGACGGAGGTGAGCAGGGGGATTTTGATTTTCTGCCACGATTTACTTCACACTTTGACGATTAGCCACTCGTTACTTTGGAGTATTTGCTTATTTG